ATTTGTGCTTCTATGAGACTGTACTTGAAATATAATGTCAGGTGAAGTCAGCAACAGAGCCAAATGGCTCATCTGTCAGGAGCTCATTGTGGGAAGGTAACCCACCACAAGTTATCCAACCCCCCCTTCTGCCCCCCTCCCGCCCGCCGCAACATTTTGTCAGGCTTCCTTGAAAATTTGCTGATGCCCATTTATATCCCTGGGCATTGTGGGTGTAAAGGCAAGGACCAATCCAGCTCTTAACACTTCAACTGGGAGTCTAGTGCATTACTTTATAAGTGGTCAAGACACCTGAAAGTCATCTCGCCCTAAGTCATGTCGCTCAAAACCAGAGTCATGTCACCTGAAACTTTCAGTCATGTCACCCAAAAATCCTGAGTCATGTTACATGAAAGAAGCAATCACTTGAAAGATCAGACTTCCCTTGCTAACTTGAAGCTACTACTAACTGTTAGGCCACTGTGTCTCACACATGTAAGCAAGGAAGAAATTCATTGGTGTCCTTCTCAGTGTTGAATTGGTGTTGATTACAAGTTCTCAATAACTGATCGCTTATAGGACTATGACAATCAGTTGTTTGTGAATTGTAATATATTGTTTCATTTTTCTTGCTTTCTTAGGGAATTGATGAGGGAAATGAGGAGGCAATCAGTGAATTTATGGCTGATAGTACAGCTAAACTTACCTCTGCTCTTAGGTAAAGTCATTTCTCTCTAATTTCAACAAGAAGCAAGTTGTATCTATAACTGTTTCTTTTTGCAAGTGTAAATCTTCCCTCTTCGATGTTAAAAGGAACTCACATGAGAAGGTTTACCCCACTGTATCAATTCTTCAAAGAATTAAGATGACACTACTGCATAATTATGTTCTTGTCATATTTTACAGTTCACTTCCAGAATTGCTTGAGAAATAGAGAATTATAGACATGCACACAACTATTGCCACAGCGCTTTTGGAACACATCAAGGAGAGAGCCAGTTCCAAAGGGGCAAATAACAAAGTGATCATTTGCATCACTTGATTTCACTTTCTCACTTTCTCACTTATTAAATTGTTTGAAAATATTGAATTTTTCCTCAACAAGTTATACTTGTGATTTTTTTCCTTTTTTTTTTTTTTCAATCCGGAAAGGTTGATATATACTTCGAGACCTTTTATGAGGCCAATCT